AGCGGCAACCCCGTTTCCTCGCGCGCCGGTAGCATTTCCCGAGCTGGTGGACGTGAAACCCTCGGCCCAGTTCCCGCCACCGAGTCGCTTAGCCGTCCTCCTCGCCCTTCAGACGGGGCCGGCGTACAGCGGCGGGCGGTCGCTAAGTGTTTATTGCATCAGGGAGCGAATGGCCGTTGGATGGAGTATGAACAAAGTATTCACGCACGGGAGCGAGCGGGTGGTCGAAAGGGGACGGTGTTGGGCCTGGAGTGGAAGGCGTACTGGTTTGCTGGGGCCACCATAACAAAACACCACAGACTGGGTGGCTCGAACACCATTTATTTTCTGACCGTTCTGGAAGTGGGAAGTCCAAGATCGGGGTGTCAGCGGGTTCGGTTTCTTCTTAGGCTGCTCTCCTTGGCTTGTAGGTGTCCTTACGGGGTCTCTTCTGTGCCTGAGCATCCCTGGTATCTGCCCAAATTTCCTCTTCTTATAAGGACATCAGTCAGATTGGATTAGGGTTTCGACTTGATTGGATTGGTTTTTAAAACCTCTTTATAAAGACCTGATCTCCAAACACAGTTACGTTCTGAGGTGCTGGGGCTGAGGGACTTGACATATGAATTTTGGGGAACACAGTTCAGCCCATAACAAGGAATTTACCTGAACGGACGAGAAGGGAAATATTTTCCAACAGAAGCGACACAGTGGCCACGAGGTTTGAAGGCGGGGCGGTCAAGGCAGGGCACTCTTCTGCATGGTTTTTTTTCATTTGCTTCCCCTGAAAACTCAGGATGACCTCTCTTCACTCCTTCCCTGGCAAATCTGTGCCCCGACTTTTAGGTTTCAGCATAGATTTCTCTTCCTCAAGGAAGTTTTTCCCTGACCTTCCTCCCCGAAATTAATTTGTACTTCCTCCGTTTAATATCCCCAGTACAGTGGTACACTTGTTTCTGCCACTGCACTGTCATGTCATGAGTGAGCATATCTGAGTTGTTCACCATCGTAACCTCAGTGCTTGGCATGTAGCGGACACTCTGTAAAGTTAAGTGAATGATGAGAAAACTGAGCCGCAGCGTGTGGAGGGCAGGGAGCAGGTCTCACTCAGTTTCTCACCATTCCATCCTCCCAGCGGGGTCTCGCGTGGACTCGGCCCACAGTACCTTTTAACCGAATTGGCTAGGGTAGCGTCATAGAGTCAGTGCAGAGCTATTCCTGACCACTACTGGTCAGACTGTGGGCTTTAGAGTCAGATTCCCTGGGTTAAAGTTCCAGCTCTGCCCCTTGTTTACCTGTTACTTATTAGCCTGTGACTGTCCTCTCTGTACCTCGTCAGGTTACCTATCGCTGTGCAACAGACTACCCCAAACTTGCTGACTTAAAATTATTTTATTTTAGCTCACATTTTTGTGGGTCAGGAATTCAGGCAGAGCTCTGCTGGGCGGTTCTTCAGCTCTACGTGACGTCGGCTGGTAGTGGTCGGTATTGAGCTTGCGACCTGGAGAGCTCACTGTGCCTTTGCTCCCATATCTGGTACCTGGGAAGGGATGGCTGGAAGGCTAGGCCCACTGAGCCCTTCTCCCACTCCACGTCTTCTCTCCACGCCGGCGTCTTCCAGTCTTCCTGCCGATCCAGTCTTCCAGGGCCGGTGTTCCGGAAGGACGCAGGTGGGAGCTGTCAGCTCCTAGGGCCTGGGCCCAGAAATGGGCACAGATTTGCACCCTTACTTGCACCTGTTGTCTTGATTAAGGCCGAGGCTGCTCAGAATCAGTGGGAGGAGTCAGAGAGCCTGCCTGCCTTTGGGAGCGGTGGCAAAGGTGGGGTGGGCATCTGAACTCTGCTGTCCTCATCTGAGGATAGTCGTCGTACCTGTCTTACCGTTAGTCTGGTAATGAAACGAGTTAACGCATAAAGGGCTTACAATGGTGCCTGGTGGCATCTAGGAAACATTTTATAAGTATTTGTTGTTATTGCTACTTTCGTTAGGTGCATTATTCCTATAGTTGTTACACGTAGGACACATAAGAAATAAAGGTCCCAGTTCTTTTTCAGAAGTTTTTATAAGGGAGGTATAGGATTAACATCATGAAGCAATTAGAGAATTGCACTAAATAACATAGATTATAATTTTTATAGTCAAAGTAAATTGTGGAATGGTTCATAATTTTGCATACCATCGTAACTCTCTGGGTCATTCCCAAGAAATTTTCCCTGTATCATTTCTATATAGCTAGAACATGTCTTCTGTAGATTTGGAATATTTGCTGCATTTTAACATTTAAGACTATAGAGGAAGTGTTTGTGTTGTGTTTATAACTTCCTTTTTCCCACGGAGATAGCATAGCCTAAGAGTGTAGATCCTGGGGTTTAGGAACCAAAATTTAAATCCTGGCTTTAGAATGTAACCATTTTATGATCATGGGCAAGTTATTTAAACTCCCTGTTTCTTAATTCCCTCACTTGAAACATGGTGGTAGGATTCATGTCGCATTGAGTTAGTGGACAATATGCTCAGCGCAGTGCCCAGCCTGCAGTAAACAGTCGGTAAATGAGAGCTGATAATAATAAACCAAGAAGGCTTTTCCTTTCAGGCAGCCAGCGGGGCAGTCACTTGGCAGTCATTTGGCAGTTCAGTATCTCCGAGGATTCAGCACTAGGGACAGTGCCCCGGCACCTGACACAGTGCTGCAGTGTTGCTCTTTGTAGATGACGTCACCTCCCATCCTGGTTTTCTCTGAATCCACCCTGATCTCAGACCAGGAGATCGTGCCAGTTCCCCGAACACTGCGTACCAGAAACTAAGCCTTCCGTTAAGACATGGGGCATTGGAATAAGGTACAGAGCTGAGGCCGAGATGGCAGGATTGAGTGTTGGAGATTCTAAGCTGAGGGATCACACGGTTAGAGGGGCTTAGTAAAATGTTGGACATTGGGAGCTGGTGGTTGAAGCTAAAGGGTCCAGTTTAGGACTTGTCTGCTTAGAGCAGGTGAAGGCCAAGAATAGATGCGATTGTCAA